CGCCCTTTACCTACAACCCCGCAAACCCAACCTTTCCACCTTCCTGTTTTTCTCTAAAAAATAACCACCTTTATACAACTCTCCCCTTCTAACCTTATTATTACCGCACTACCTCTTTACACGACCCTTACTTCTACCACACCTAATTTTAAGCTACGTGTTCTCTACCCTCTTAAAACTCCTAAAAAAAACTGCACACTAGTTTGCACACTCCTTATCTAGCGTCACCGGAAACGGAAGTTCCGCATATAATTATATATAATTGGATATAATTATACATGATTATATATAATTATGCCAAGCCATTTTTTATATATAATCATATATAATTATACCCAATTATATATAAATTTTTTTACCCGGGCGGAGAAAAAAAATTTTATATAATAAGACATAATTATATAAAATTATATATAATTATACAAAACTGTATAAAATTATGTATAATTTTATATAATTTTGTATAATTTTATCTAATTATACATAATTGTTAACTTAAAATTTTATATAAATATATATAATTATACAAAATTCTATATAATGTCTGAGCATAATTTTCCGAAAATTCATAAGTTTCCTCAATTTTTTCAAAATAGATCAAACTATATTGGAATCACAGAAAATACAAATAATTGAGAGTTTGTAAAGAGCAAAATTGTCCACAGATATGATTTAAAACATTTTACTATTTGTTCATTAATTTAAAAAATAGAGTGCTTTAAAGCTGCACCAAAGATATAGTTGACAACACGTTTAAGAAATCTAATGTAATTTTTCAATTATAAAATACTTCAATATAATCAGCGTTAAAGTTCTTTTCTTTTGATAAATTTTTAATTATTTTGCAAAATGTTAAAAAAATCAATTGAAAAGGACTTTAATTGTTAATAAAATTCAACCACAGAAAACGGTAATGTTTTTTTTTAAATTAGAAATTTTCAACAGTGCCCATCCACATGCCTCCTAATCTAAGCTTTATACATTTATGTAATACATTGTTTATTGATTTTCTTATTTGATACAAATCGATATATAGTGATATACGTCGACATTCTTAGGCTTGAACAATAGTAAGTGAGTAAGGTTTCCCGTTTGATTAATCAGGAATCATAGCTATTTATTTGCAAGTTTTGACTAACGGCGAACTTCAAAAACTTTCATCTATTTTAAAGCATCCACGTCTGTCCAATAGCACAAAAATTATAAACAATTTAAATTTCAGCCTAGTTTTATAAAGAAATGATTTAACTCTCGGGAAAATATTCGGATCGCCTTGAAATTTTAACAGCTCACTCCTTACATAGGATGATTTATATATAATCATATAAAATTGTATATAATTTTTTTCTCCAGGGATAATTACAATAAAAAATAAAGGTTAACCATAAATAACAAATGAAATCAACATTCAAAAATTAAAATTACTACTTCTGTGAAGCTCCATGAAATAATGAAGAATTTTAATAAAAACCTAGCCTATCTTGTGTTTCAATTCAAATAAAATAAATAATGTCCTGTAACTGTATCGTGTCATGCGGATCAGTGGCAGCACGCAGGACTCGAGTTCAAATCCCGTCGACACTCAGAATTTTTCATCAGATATTTGATCGCAAATATTCTGTGAGGCCCAATTCCTACTTATTTTTAATTTAAAAATTAAAAAAAAATTTTTATATAATTGAAAAAAAAATATTAAATTTTTTTTATATAATTATATATAATTGTATATAATTAGATATGGCCAAAACTCATACATAATTATATATAATGATTTATATATAATTTTTTTTCCCCGAGTAAGATTGAGCTTTGGTAGATCTCTAGTTTTTACTATGTTACATAATTTTTTTAATGTATTTGAAATCATCTTTAGGGTAAAAGACCCCATTAGTGGCGGGGACCCCATTACTGACACTTTTTTGATTTTGGTATTTATTCAATTAATTAAATCATTAATTTCAATAATAAATATATTATTTATAATTTTTAAGACCTTTTGATCAAAAAAATTTTTAATTTTTATTCCAAGTAGAACATTTTTTCATTGAAAGAAAAAGTGCCACTGATGGGGGTTAAAGGTGCCACTAATGGGGTCTTTTACCTTATATTGTTTTAAGCAGCAAACGATTAGTTGCAATTACAGTCATTAGTAGCTGCGATAATTGAAAAAAAAATTTCATTCATATTTGATAAAATAAAAAATTCGAATAATAATTCCTAAAAGGTGATATGAAAGATGAATCCAGAATAATAATTTTTTTGTTATTTATTCGTCTTTATTTATATTAATCTCATAAAATGATTGAATTTTATATTATATATCTAAAATAACCTAATTTCAAGTTATAAATTATCTATAGTATTTCAAATGCGTTTTTATGCATAAGTTTCATTATGTAATGACTCAAAATTCAAATAAATATATTTTGATTTTCAATCAATATCATGATTGCTTTAGATGAAATAATGATTACTCTTGGCCAAAATTGTTATAATTACCATTAAGATTTTTGTTTCAGTAAAATAAAACTAAAAATTATCTCTTTTGATTACATGACATTCGTTTATATATGTTATGAGTGATCATATAATTAAGTAATGAAGAGAAGAAGAAAAAACTATTTAAATGAGTCACTAAATAACTACTCAATATGACGATCGACCTACTGCAACGCAACAACTTACTAATATGAATAAACTTTCTATAAGGTGGACTCAGCGACATAAAATCAACATCTTATTTTCTCTTCTATAAAGTATAAATACATGTAAATCAATGAAATTTTATCGATCCAGTTGCGTATTCTTAGTAAATTTTTTTATTCATCATTTAAAACAAAGTAAAATTTAACAAAAAAAACATTAGCCTCACAAGGAAGGATCATTATGTGTCAATATAAATGCACGCGAAATCATGCATACCAGCAAAACGTGCTCATGGCCGTTAAGACATTTGACTATAATATCTTGAAACGTCGACAGAAATATCTAAAGTGTCAACAACCCCGATGCCTCCTCTTACTCTTCCTCTCTCTTATCATAAGTTATAGTCATTGCATTCATCACTTCAAGCATTATTATCATTAATGCTATGCGCCTTCACCGACGAAAAAGGTCTGGAAAGCCGGTATTTATTCTCCTGTAACTTTCACTTGTGATCCACGGGTAAATAAATTATGTACCTCGCCCAACAAACCAGCAGCATATTCTTGTGAGGACCCTGTAGATGCGCTAAGACATTTTATTCTTTACGTCATCTACAAGACTTACAATATTGTTTTACCGTTTAATGCAATCACAGTTATTTTTATTGTGATTATTATAGAATATAGCAGCCAATTCACAAATATATGGATGAATTTTTATACTTCTACGACATATTTTTGATTGCTTTTTTCAATTACTTTTTTTCTATTTTATTTACATACTATAAAAAATACTGATGAATCATTAATAAATCCCCAAAATAGTAAATTTTTTCATTTTTCATCAACTTGAATAATTTGTATTGTTGACCTTTACATTTCCAAATGTAAAATCTTATTCAAGTTTGAGTTAGAGTGTCCGTTATCCGGAAGGCAACAATCGTTTGATCATCCCATTTCCATTTAAGGAGCACTTATGTCCACGCCTTTATTTCATTCACAAAAAAGTTCTATTGAAAAAATTTTTGTAGTTTGCGTGCTGTTATTTACTCAATTACAATATAAAAGAAACAAAGTTAAGCGAATTTTTAAAAATTTGAAATTCTTATAAGTCAATTCCAACATTTTTATTTCGATATTCACGGTTAAAAAATATGTAAAAATCAATAAATAAATTTAAATCCACGTATGTGTAAATCTAACTGTGTTTAAACTAAAAGGTTAATAAATGCAAAGTAAAAGTTACACGTGAGCATTTTACATAAAAAGTTGACATTGAAGTGTTAAATTGTATTTTTATTTTCATAATTTCATCTTTTACTCTTCCTTTCTTTATTTCACTCGAGGTAGACAAGTTATACTCAGCGTATATTACTTTTTCAAGGCTTACCTTGTCGTCTACCACACGAGTAAATAAAGACGCAATCAAACCGAGACTGTAGTTTCAAATGTTTCTTTCTCTTTTATTATTTCTCTTTCCGACTTATTTAAAATGACTTAAGAAACTGGATCGACACAAAACGAGAAAGTTCTGTTGCGGTTGAAAGCCTTGCTCTAAGCCTCATACAGATATACGATACATTAAGTCTCTTCCGCGGCCTTGATTTTTCACATCAAAAATGAATTGTATCAAATATATCTCACAGTTCTAATAACGGATATAATCATTGTATCATATTATTTGCATACAATAAAGTTATCACACTCTAATGATGTTAAGTATCTTGAAAATTTTCAAGTATATTATTAATGTATAATTAAATTATTTATTGAATATCGTAATAAATATTTACAGTACAGAATTAAGAATTTATCAAATATTATTTTCTTTTGTTCTTCTATATATTGAAAATACATTCCTTGTCATGATTTGTTTTTTAAATTCCAGGTTACGATATCAAGCACCAACATGGAAACTTGTTTTTGAAACCGGCCCACGTAGTGAAAACAGAAGTAGAACAATGATCTTTATCATATGATTAGCCTTTTGAAAGAATTTAAAGTAAAAGAAGATATAAATTATACATTTTTCGATAGAAAAAAATAATGTAAAGCTTATAATAAAATTTTAGAAAAATACCTCTCCTGTTCAAGCCGGATATCAAAGTAAAACAGAGGGGGTCTTGTGATACCTTCTTTGACGCTCTCGTCAATATTCTTTTGGTAGGGGAGTGACACGTGACCAATGACATATATAAAGCAAAGAACTGGCAGGGCGCTAACAGAATTATCCATACCACAGAAGATTTTCTATACCATTTAGTTATATCACTTGGTTCAATTTCTGAACTTTTTCATACATATATATAAATATAAAATAACTGTTCAGAAAGAAAATTAGTACTAAATTAAAAAATGAAATTCTACTTAATCACGGCGCTTCTTATTATTGGTAGGTAAACAAGAAAATTAAAAGTGTAACGGAAAAAGTGTTATACAGTGCGGATTTTTACTTTTCACTTAAATCTTAACTCGAATACTGTAGAAAAAGTGTTTTTCTCACTTTCGATTGACTTAAGTTTATAAAGATGCATTTGATATTTTCTTCTATCGTGCCTAAATTTTGTGCTAATTTTTATAAAAAATTGTAAAATTATTAAGATTAAGAAGATTGACTCTACTTTCTTCTTGCTATTATCATTTTGGTATAGTTTATTTCTTAAAGTTTTTTTTTCTTAAACTATGTTTGTCAAACAAAGCGTTCGAAGCAAATAAAGTAAATACTGAAAGTTCAAGTAATATGTGTATACACATTGGTTTTACTCACAGAGTGAAAGTAATACGAGAAAGTCTGTACATTTTGCTTATATAAGATCATCGATTTAGTAAAAATCTGGTTTGAATATCGGATTGTCTGCCATAAAAATAATATTCCAACATTTTGATGTAAGAAAATAAATAGAATGAATATTAACTATTAAATATGTGTTTTCTACAGGATCCGAAGCACAAGATACTTTCAAATGTCCGGATGACTTTGGCTTTTATCCTCATCATTTATCATGTGACAAATATTGGAAATGTGATAACAATGTCGCAGAATTAAAAACTTGTGGCAATGGCCTTGCTTTTGACGCTTCAGATGCGAAATTTCTTACAGAAAATTGCGATTATTTACACAACGTCGAATGTGGCGAAAGAACTCAGCTTGAACCACCAATCAGCACACCTCACTGTGCTCGACTTTATGGTATTTTCCCAGACGAAAAAAAATGTGATGTATTCTGGAATTGTTGGAATGGTGAAGCATCTCGATACCAATGCAGTCCTGGACTTGCCTACGATCGTGAAGCTCGTGTTTGCATGTGGGCTGATCAAGTACCTGAATGCCGTAACGATGGTATAAAATTACAAAACACTCAATACAATATTGATGATTCATATCGTCATTATGATTATTATTATTATTATTATTATTATTATTATTATTATTATTATTATTATTATTATTATTATTATTATTATTATTATTATTATTATTATTATTATTCATTAGCGTACTGTTATGAGATGCCAAATTTTATCAACAATGTATATTTTCTATAGCATTAAACAATTTTTGTTAATCATTTTTGTCTCTCTGTAGAAGTAGCTGGCGGTTTTTCATGTCCCGCTGCTGGTGAAGTCGCTGGAGCGTCCGGAAGTTTTTCCAGGCATGCTCATCCTGAGGACTGCAGAAAATATTATATTTGTCTAGAAGGAATTGCTAGAGAATACGGATGTCCTGTTGGTACTGTTTTCAAAATTGGTGATACAGATGGAAGCGGTAACTGTGAGGATCCCGAAGACGTTCCTGGTTGGTAAGTTGAACACGCACAGGACTTTGCATATTAATTTTTTATTTTAGTCCATAGCACTATGAACACATCGTAAATTTTCCCGAATCAGAAAAATTAACTTAGATGAGCTTAAATCAATTGTTTTAGTATAGTAGTTAAGTTCATTTAAGTTAATTTTTTCAACTCGGGTTAAGTTAATATCTTTATATTCGAATATTTTATTTATAAGAAAAAGCTAATGAGAACAAAATAATTGAAGCAAAAATGAAAGCGTTAAAACTGCTGACTATTTATTTTGTACATAAAAAGAAAAAAGTTTTTTCGGAAAAATTACAATTGTCACATCGTAATCCAGGACCAGACTTTCAATAGGTCACTTTGATTATTTTAAATTTTAAAATTAATGATGTTGCATCGAAAAAATGCCTTTAAAAGAAATAAATATTATTTTCTTCAATAAATGTAAAATTTTTATAACATTTGACTTACTTTTGACTCTTTTTGGCTTAATTAGGATCGATTAAAGACAAAAAAAGTCAGAATTAAGTCAACGCTTGAATTTCTTTCATAGTTAGCATTTTTTAAAATAAACAAAGTCAATATAAAATTAATTATAACATCGTTTTGTGAATTATAAATAAAAGTGAAAAAATTGAAAGCCAAATAAGAAATATTGCATAGAATCATTTCTGATATGACCATAAATGTTAAGTTAAAAAAATAATAAGTAAATAATCAAGTTATCAGTGATTTCTTTACACGGGTATATTAGTGGTCATATATTTCATCATAGTCAGGTATCATTATTTCAATCATAGTTGTAATTGATCATGATACATATTGAGATGAAGAGACGAGATACACGATCCCTAGATAGCTGAAAGAATCACAAATTATTAGTATAAAATTCCTGTTTTTCATGGGACTCGAACAATGGATCTCTTGAATGTCAGCATTGAAGGCATCCGCTTTACTACCGAAAAGATTGAAAAAACTTTACTTTCCCTATCTTATAAACATTTCATTATTTTCGTTATTAGTCTCCCGTAGAATTTAAGTCAAAAAAAGTCAATATTAAGACAAAGAAATTGAATAAGAATAAAAATCTCAGATAAAATCGTCGGCAAATAAACTACTTCAAGAGAAAATAAGTCAAACCAAGTCAAAATTAAGATTTTTTTTTCGACCAGGGGGATTAAAATTGACTCATGGATAAATGTCTGCATTGTGGATGATGATGAAAACATCTTGAATTCTGAGCAGTTTTCGCAGCCATTTCTGTCAAACCATGATTTGACATCTTTAACATATAATTAGAAAGTTGGTTGACAGTAATTAAACAGCTTTTTGTATAGAAATCGGAATGCGGTTGACAACGACTTATTGCAGAACTTATGCGAAGACATTGACATTAATACTATGAGATTCTTGGAAACCATGAATGAAATAAATAGCTATCTGCACGAGCATCTAGGCAAAATTATTGACACCGTAGCAACAGAGAAAACTATTTGCCCACGTCGCCCACTAGAACCGTGGTTCAAAAATCAAATCAAAGAACTCCAGAGCCGTTGACAAATTCTACCGAATGTATAAGAAAATTGGTTACGCATACAAGAAATATGTAAGCGTAAGACGTTTAGTGAAAAAGCGAATAAGTGAAGGAAAAAAATTAGGAAAACGGTTGACCCTGAAGACCATCCCTGCAACTTCCCGCTAATTCCACATTTGAACACTTAAAATTGCACTTATGCCGTTTTTAAACTTTTCAAGCTCAAAAATACAATATATGTAATGTTTTGAGCTGTCCAAGCACAAAAAGATAGCTTTTCTATGCTTTTGAGCTCTTCGAGCTCAAAAGTCTGATAGACGTTTGATAAAACACTATTTTTTGAATTTTCAAACCGCAATAACTTTTGAATGAATGAACCGATTTTCACGCGGTTGGAGACATTCGACGCAGTTTTTTAAGCCTCATAAACAATCTTCAAGTTTAAATTGATCGAACAAGAAATTTCGGAGTAATTCCGAAAAAACACTTCTTTCGGTTTTCTTTCCTTCACGATATCTCTCGAACGAATCAACCGATTTTGACTGGATAAACGGCGATCGACGTGATTTTTTAAGGTAAAGAGCTGATTAGTTTTTGGAGTTGATTGATAAAGCCGTTTAAAAGTTATTAAAAAAAACCACTGAACAAAAAACTTTTCAACTTTCCGCTAAAAAAATTGAAAATTTTCAAAAATCGGGAAGTTCTTGGTTGTACCCCGTTTTGCAAAAATCAAGTTTTCATCAGATCTCAACGTTTTAAGGTCATAGGAAGCTTTCCTGACTCTTCCTGCGATGGTGTCCGGGTGGCTGTGTGTGTGTGTGTGTGTGTGTGTGTGTGTGTGTGTGTGTGTGTGTGTGTGGTGTGTGTGTGTGTGTGTGTGTGTGTTAAACGGCTTGACTGATTGGAACTAAACGGGGGGGGGAATCCTTTTTACGGATTCTAGGCGTAGCTGTTTGGCCTGGATATGTGGCGACTCGACGCAGCGTCATACAAAAACTCGACGCTAACGCCCCTACCCACTAAATCCTAAACCCCTTTCCTCTTTCCTCTAATCCCTCATGGAAACCGCCGTTAGGCATTACTTCGTGGGGGGAGGATATAGTGACTGCTCTTCCTTCTGGTAACTAAGGTATTATTTTACTTTTCTTCTAGTTGTTGTGATTTGCTCTTTTTCTTTCGATGGAACGCAAGTCTATAAGGACTTCTGTTGCAAATGTGTTTGCGGTGTTCCAGGCAGCTTCTGATGACAGCATTGCTTCTACTATTGTCTCTGGTTGGATTTTCTTCTTAAGGATCATCTCCAGCTCATCTAGCTGTGGGTAAAATCGTGGGCACTCAAAGAAAACGTGCTCCGCGTCTTCAGCAACTCCTGGGCAGGACGGGCACTCCGAAGAGTCATCGTGCTTAAAGCGGTGTAGATACTTTCGAAAACATCCGTGTCCTGACAACATCTGGGTAAGATAGTAATTGACCTCGCCGTGATTCCGGTTAAGCCAAATGTCGATCCGAGGTATTAAACGGTGCGTCCACCTACCCTTCTCTGCAGCATCCCATTGTAATTGCCATCGGCCTATGCTATTCTGCCGTTCTTCAATTCTAAATTCTTCAGGGCTCAGTGCAGTTGACCTTTTTCGTTGTTAAAGGGCCCGTCTTTCTTCTGCTAGAACTCTAAGAGGTAGGGTTCCAGTAATTACGCACACTGCCTCTTCTGATATAGTGCGGAAGGCACTAGCTACATGATTCTTGGGTTTCCAGTGCATCAGCCCAAATGGATATTCCGTAAGTGAGCACTGATGTGACTACTGATGATAATAGTAGCCTCCTGCTCTGCATTGGGCCTCCGATGTTAGGCATCAGCCGTGCGAGACTAGCCCTCGCTACTGACGCTTTGGCACTGACGTGTTCCACCTGCTGCTTGAAGTTGAGTCGAGCATCCAGCATCAGTCCCAGATAACGGATAAATGGTTGTGATGTTATTTCTTGTTCTCCGACCCTCAACTTGATGGTTTCTACCGTTTTTCTACTAGTGATGAGCACTGCCTCGGTTTTATGCTTGGCTAGTTGCAAGTTCATCATGTCCATCCACAAATTGATTCGTCTGAATGTAATATCAAATGCCATTTCTATCTCTTCAAAGTGCTTTGCGACGATCACGACAGCTACGTCATCCGCATATGCTACAAGTTTGACTCCTGTGGGCAATGCTATTCTCAGGAGGCCAGAGGAGGCCAGAGTCTCAGAGGACCTAAGACTGATCCCTGTGGCACTCCTCCGGAGATTTCGTACACTTCCGTACCGTTCTTCGTGTCATATTACAGGACCCTATTCGTGAAGTAGCTCGCTACTATTCAGCGAAGGTATCCTGGTACGTTTTTTTCCTCTAGAGCCCACATAACACAGTCCCAGTTAGCGGAGTTGAAGGCATTCTTGATGTCCAAAGCAGCCACCAAACAGTATTTTTTCTTTCCACTCTTCCATCTCGTTCCAGCAATTGCATCCTTGGCTGTATCAACAACCAATTTGATCGAATCTAGAGTTGACCGTCCTTTTCGGAAACCAAACTAGTTCTTTGCCAGGAGTGGATCGACTAAAGCCTCTATTCTCTGATGAATTAAGCGTTCGAATATCTTGCCGGCCGTGTCTAACATACAGAGTGGTCGGTAGGATGATGGTTCTTTTCTCTTGGAGGGCTTGCATGATGCATTCCCAATTGGCTGAGTTGAATGCGTTTCTGATATTTAGGGTCGCCACCAGGCAATACTCTTTCGTTCCACCCTCCCATCTGGTTCCTGCGATTGCTTCTTTGGCCGTATCAACAACCAGTTTGATTGCGTCCGGGGTTGATCGTCCTTTCCGGAATCCATACTGGTTGTCTGCCAGGAGTGGGTCGACTACTGCTTCAATTCTCTGGTGAATTATGCGTTCAAATATCTTACCCGCCGTATCTAGTATGCAAAGTGGTCGGTAAGATGACGGTTCTTCTGGTGGTTTCTTCCCTTTAGGTAACAGTACTAATCGTTGCTGTTTCCACTTACGAGGAAAAGTCCCTTTCTTGAGGCATGCATTATAAGCGTCTAGGAATAATGTTGGAGCGGCCTTTATGATGGTTTTTAAGGCTAAATTAGGGATTCCGTGCAATCCCGGCGCTTTATTATTCCCTACATGGTTACAGGCCTCCAGCAGTTCTTCTTCAGTGACAGGTGGGATTTCGTCCAATTCGCCTGGCGCCAACTGGTAATCGATGTTGCGTTGCTGTGGAAACAGTGCAGTGACGGTTTTCTGAAGAAGTTGGGGACACGTAGGTGATTGCATTTGTTGTTTTTTCAGGTGGGTCATCACCACCTTATAAGGCCTACCCCACACGTCTTCATCCTCTTCGTTGATGAGCTCTTTCCAGCATTGTCTCTTACTATCCTTGATGGCTTTGTTCAATGATCGACGGGTTTTTTTGTATTCTGCGACCAGCTCTGCAGTGTTAGGTCGTCGATAGCCACGCTGACTTTCTTCTTTTTTTAAGACACTCTGAGCGTAGAGTGCTAATGTGATCGTTCCACCAGTGCACTGAAGGTCTTGAGTTCATGCCACGTTTCCGAGACATACTAGCGTTGCAAGCCTGGGTGACTCTTCTCATTAGGTCCTTGGTCTTTTCTTCAGCAGTTTCTACCATGATCGGATCGCAGTCTAAGGCTACTCCTAAAGCAGTGGGGTCGAGAGATTTAACTTTCCACCCAACTGCGCTAGCGCTCCTGTTGTCTCTTGTTAGTTTGTGGCCAGTTGATATTTCCCACAGTATCGCACTTTGGTCACTGGCTGTGTAGATGTTCAATACTTTCCAAGAAAAACCTCTTCGGGCTAAGCTACTGCTGACAAATGTGAGGTCGACAATCGAGCTTGCCTCTCCTTTGGTATACGTTGGTGTGTCACCGGTGTTAAGAAGGATCACATTCAGTGTGGCCATTGCCTCGAGAAGTGCTTTTCCACGTGTATCACGTGTATTACGTGTATTAGTGAACTTGCTGCCCCAGTCTGTTGCCTAGGAATTGAAGTCACCAGCTATTGCCACGGGAAAGTGTTTTCTTTCGTGCTCAGTTAGCCGATCAAGGAAGTCTTCAAACTGTTTATTAGAGAGACTAGGTGGTGCATAGCAACTGTAGATGCGGAGGCCATCTACCCATGCTGCTAGGAAGCCGGCTTCTTTGTTGTTGGCTGTTCTTTGAAAAGGACATTTACCGCAGGACCAGTTGACGGCTTTGTTAGTGCTGTCGGATTTCCAGGGTTGATTACTCAAGTGTCTATAAGGCTTACTTATAAGTGCTACGTCTGCCTCTAATTCGCGCACAGTTTGCATGAGCAGGTCATGCGCAGCCTCACAATGATTGAGGTTGAGCTGCACTATCTTCATGTTCTTGGCTTCGTTATCTTCTGGAGCGCTTCTTGGAAGATGGGGCATCTGTTCGTGCCTGCATGGTGAGCCGCCTTTTCTACGCCGTGCCGTTCAAAGCACAGTGCACATTTAGCTGGATTTTTACAATCAGCAATTTTGTGTCCTTCTTTTCCGCACCTTATGCAGTGCTGAGACCGGTTGACTTCACTTTTGCACTGAGATCCGATGTGCACAAAGTGCCAGCATTTGAAGCATTGTATGGGTCTCTTCGTTGCTCTCATTCGGCAATTCGACCAGCCTATCCTTATTTTGCAGTTTCCCTTCAGTAACTTTTGTGCTGCAGCTGCTGGTAGTGACACTGTGGCTGTCTGTGTACCCCTAAAGGCTTTACGGATCTTGATTGCCTCTAGTGGGATTTCACAACTTTCTCCAGCTTCCCTCTTTAGAGCGGTCTGAATATGCTCTTTCGTCGTGTCGTCATAGACATCTCGGATCTCGATGGTCTCCTGTGGCCCTTTGCAAATCACTTTGGCCTCCTCCTTAAGGATGTCTGCGATCGTCTTTTGCAGACCTTGGCCTTTGTCAGTGCTCTTCCTCGAAATCGTAATCAACAAGTCCCCACTTCTGGTCTTGTTGATCTTATCCACAGTTGAACGAACCTGCTCATCTGGGACGTCCTGCTTTATGCGACGCAGAATCTCAGCATACTTTGTTTTCTCGGCTGGGCGGATGATCAGTGCGTCGGGTCTGATCCATTTGCGTGGTTTTTTCCGCTTAGGCTCTGGCCTGGGCTCCTTCGGCGGCTGCTTTGAGAGTTGCTCTCTAGCTAGCCTCCTCTTCTTCTTCTTAGACTGTACTTTTTCCCAGTCAGTCGTCTTCTTGGGTTCGTCGCCCTGCCCTGCCAGTTGTTGGGGAGGGCTTTTTTTCAGGTCCTTCTTTGTGACTTTGTCGGTTGGCTCTGGCGAATCTCGGTCCTTTCTCTTTCCAGACCTTGTGTCAGTTTCACCCTGGTCCTCAGCAGCAGATTCACCGTCACCGTCGGCTCCAGTGTCCATTGCTTCTTCCGTCTCAACTTCAGTTTCAATGCGGCGTCGTGATGACTGCCATTCCTCGTCCAGTTTCTTGAATCTTCTAAGAGCATTGACTACACCGGTTGTCTTGGTCTTTATCTCTTTGTGGATATTGACCTTAGTTTGGACAAACTCTTGTAGCTCAATGGTCAGCTTTTCAAGGCGTTCCAACGCTTGCGTTCTCTTCATTTCAGCGCCTGCTTCAATCGCTGCTTGTTGGGAATGAAGCCCGTGTCTATTCTTGTTTGTTTCCTGTAAATTACTCATACATTTTGATTCACCAGCGCATCGTACGGAGAGGAGCGGGTTGTCATAACTAGGAACGGGTGTACCCTCGGAGATAGTACTCCTACCCCAGTTCCCTGAGGCCTAGCCGACACTTAGCCAGTCCCGAAATACACGGACGGACTAGACTCGCTCGGGGCGGTGAAGATTCCGATCTCTAACACTCACTGCGTACTTCCTGATCAAGGCCCGAAGTGGCTGGCTCCTGATCCACTGCTGCATCTTATACCTCGGCAGAGCAAGCTCACATCAGCCGTGGCCAGCATAGTCGGAAACTACGATACAGGTTCCGGTTTTTTTTTTTTTGAAAAGTTTATTTTTATTTTTCCACAGACAAGAGTTACATAAATGATAATACAGATTAAAAAATACAATAAAAAAACTGTAACATAATTATAATAAATGATATTATTTTATCTTAGCTAGCTATAATAAATAGATCTCGCTAAGAGACATATTGGAGATTGTACTATTTAGTGTCAGAAACAGAATTAATTTTAACATTCTTAGTTAAGCCAGATAATTTATAAAGAGATGCAAAAATTCGTGAATTTAAAAGCATCTAAATCTTTAAGGCGAAGGTGTGGGATAAGGAGTAGGACGGGGGAAGAGGTATGGGTAATGGGAGAGTAATAAATAAACTTAAACCTATTTATGTACATATTTACCAAATTTGCCGACTGATAGGCGCACTGGCGTTATAATAAAAAGCCTCTGAGGCAAATATTGAGTTGTTGTCTGCTTTAATGGTCCCAAACTGTTCTTCTCCTGATCTCGTCTAGATATTCAGCATCTTTCTGGTGCCACCAGTAATTTTTATTAAGACGGTGTGTGTCGCAGAGGTCCACTTTTGGCAGTGAAGTTGAGAACATCTTATTTGACTCTTCAAAAAGTTCAGTTGTTAGCTTTTTATTGAAGCAATGTCGTCTCGCGTGGTAGATGACTGGAAGATTATTTCCATCTTGTAGTAGGCCTTTGCGATCACAGAACGTGAACATTTCTGAAGTGACGTAGCCAGATGCACAAGCATTAAGACAGATGTTATCATCGGGGCAGTGAAACGGAATGTTATGTTTCCCTTGGTCGCCCCTTTTTACTCTTAAGGGCGCCACTGGATTTTTGTTCTCAGTATCCAGAAACTGGACCAGAACATGGAGTGCTAGGTCAGGGTCGTGAGAGAATTGCTGAAAGGGCTTAAGATCTAAACACAGAAATTCGTTTAACAAAAATTATTTATTTATCCACTCCTTTTTACAATTGAAATAATGGCCAAAATTACAATATATAAAATTTCATGGATAACAATCCACACTCACACTCACTCGCATACGGTATTTTTCGCGCTGTCCAGCTAGACCCTCACGTAGCTGCAGTACCCGATGCCTACTGGACTCTCACGTTACTCTATCTACTTCGCGCCGTCCCCTGGACCTCTAACGCTACTCTAACTTAGTTCGCGCTGTCTCACGGACTCTCACGCCACTGAGCTGGACCCGGACGTGACTGCACATGTTGTCCACACAGTGCACGCTGTCCCCCAAACTTCACATTACTCTAAGAGAACTACCCGAAGCTGGATAGTCTCTTTACTCACACACAAACACACTCTATTCCAATTCCAATAACAATAATAATAACGCTTGAATCTCAATTTATAAATAATTTCCAAAATATTATTTTCCTAATTAATATTTCTAAAAATTCCGGTTTATCATTTTCTGAATTATAAATTCCTATTATCTAAATTACTGCCGTATCTTCAATTACTACAACAATAATTATCTAAATTACAATTCTAAAATATCGAGGATTAAATCCATTCATTATATCCGAGAAATTGTTAAATAAATGTTAATCTTCATTTTAGCAAACTTAAATAAATTCCGGTAATTGAGTAAACTTAAATTTCGTACATTATTTAATCTAATCCAAATTATTTAATTCCGAACTATTTTATTTAATCCAATATCGGCGGTAAATTTTACTAAATTTATTTTCAACGCAAACGAGAAATTTAGACAAGAGATTATTCTATTGTATTTTATTATGTGTTTCTTAAAACTTAATATTTTATTTTACTCGAGTTTATTTTATTTCAAACGAACGGAGACTTTTGTTACGACCTTGAGTGTCCTCTACTCAGCGCTTCGCGCGGGACAAGATGGCTGACGCTCTCGCTCGGTCTGGCGTCTTTGTCGCTCGACTCAAGTATCGTTTTTTTTCCAACGAAATTTTTACAACTTTTATATTCTATTTTTTCGCTAAATAATTTAGATTGACAATTATATTGATTTAAATGATTATTTCCGGACTCTAAGTTTAATTTAAATTAAGACAAATATTAAATAATGTTCCGAATAATTTATTAAGAATAACTTCAGATTGGAATAAATTTTTATCTTAAATAATTTTACTTTTGCGGTTTACTCAATTCTATTTCTATTGGCTTAAGCCAAATTATTATCCAAAGATTCTCAATTAAATAAATTTTACACATGGCGTGAAAATCTGGAATTAATAACCCGAACTAATGCCTAGTATTATTAACCCAGACATGCCTACGTCTAAAATTCGTAATGACAAGGACAAGTTAATTTCCCTAAACAAATTAATCAATAACCCGAAACCTGTCCTGGTATTATTAATTAATTGTTTTATAATTTTTCTAATATTAATATTAAATTTAATTAAATAATTTATAAACTAGCGATTGTGACCGAACGCAAAATGGCGGTGACCTTCAGCCGACGTGTTGCCTGGTTGACGCCGCCGACCTGAGAAATAAAATCAGACATTATATTTGTACCTGGAGTTTTCTTTTTAATATTAACACTCGTGCACTCCCTCGAAGAGCTGCAACTCCTATTTGTCCGTGCTGGTACAAATGTCCCCGGGGAAAAAAAATTATATATAATTTTATATAATTATATATAAATCATTATATATAATTATGTATGAGTTTTGGCCATATATAATTATATAAAATTATATATAACTATATAAAATTATATATAATTATATAAAATTATATATAACTATATAAAATTATATATAATTATATAAAATTATATATAACTATATAAAATTATATATAATTATATAAAATTATATATAACTATATAAAATTATATATAATTATATAAAATTATATATAACTATATAAAATTATATATAATTATATAAAATTATATATAACTATATAAAATTATATATAATTATATAAAATTATATATAACTATATAAAATTATATATAATTATATAAAATTATATATAACTATATAAAATTATATATAATTATATAAAATTATATATAACTATATAAAATTATATATAATTATATAAAATTATATATAACTATATAAAATTATATATAATTATATAAAATTATATATAACTATATAAAATTATATATAATTATATAAAATTATATATAACTATATAAAATTATATATAATTATATAAAATTATATATAACTATATAAAATTATATATAATTATATAAAATTATATATAACTATATAAAATTATATATAATTATATAAAATTATATATAACTATATAAAATTATATATAATTATATAAAATTATATATAACTATATAAAATTATATATAATTATATAAAATTATATATAATTATATAAAATTATATATAATTTTTTTTCCCCGGGAAAATATATAAAATTAATAACACAACAAGTACATGATGTTCAAGAAAAATATTATTGAGAAAATTTCACTAAAAATTAATTCAAGAATCTTACGATTATTTATAGTTGGTACAGAAATTGGGACACGGTCATAAAAATAACTAGTTTTAAACAAAATTAGTTATCTTGTAGGATAAAAATTGCTCAGGTTTGATTAGATTTACTTTTGAGCGCCAATTTCAGTACACTGATAAAACGATTAACTTGATTTAAAAGAGAAATTTTTGAATCAAGACCACAATTTTGAAGAATTTGAATATCTCGAATCGAGTCGAAAAATTTTTTAATTGAGTAAAATATACTTGAAAAATCAAGAATAATTTCTTAGATCAAGAATTTTTCCACTTGATTTAAGTTTATCAAATATTTCAAAATGATGTTCTTGGCTCAAGAATGTTTCTCTTGAATCAAATTAAGAAAAAAATTTTATATAATAAGATATAGTTATATAAAATTATATATAATTATACAAAATTATATAAAAATATGTATAATTTTATATAATTTTGTATAAATATATAAATTTATATATAATTATATATAATGTTATCTTCCCGGAGAAAAAATTTTTATATAATAAGATATAATTATATATAATTATACAAAATTATATAAAAATATGTATAATTTTATATAATTTTGTATAAATATATAAATTTATATATAATTATATATAATGTTATCTTCCCGGAGAAAAAATTTTTATATAATAAGATATAATTATATATAATTATACAAAATTATATAAAAATATGTATAATTTTATATAATTTTGTATAAATATATAAATTTATATATAATTATATATAATGTTATCTTCCCGGAGAAAAAATTTTTATATAATAAGATATAATTATATATAATTATACAAAATTATATAAAAATATGTATAATTTTATATAATTTTGTATAAATATATAAATTTATATATAATTATATATAATGTTATCTTCCCGGAGAAAAAATTTTTATATAATAAGATATAATTATATATAATTATACAAAATTATATAAAAATATGTATAATTTTATATAATTTTGTATAAATATATAAATTTATATATAATTATATATAATGTTATCTTCCCGGAGAAAAAATTTTTATATAATAAGATATAATTATATATAATTATACAAAATTATATAAAATTATACATAATTATATTAAATTTTATATATTTTTATGTAAAATTAGATCAAATTATATATAATTAAATATAATTTTATATAATTATATATAATTTTTTTTCCCCGGGTCTTCTCGGTAGATCCTCGGCAAATGTCTCCTCGGATTAATCTGCTTGGCAGCGAAACTCTGGTCACCGTCACTCGTTCTCTGGGTATTTTCTCAAGCCTGTGCTCTGTGTTCTTACAAAAATTGCGATGCGTCCAGTGAGACTGTTCGGTCACAATGAATCTTCGTGGTCTTGTCGTTGTAGTTCTTTCTTCACTCTGCCTTCCCCACTCTCTCTCTCGGCGCCGGCGCTTCCCCCTCGGGGACTTACTTACACGGAAAAAAATTAACTGTTGCTGCAACAGGAGGCTGTCATGTTGCAGCAACAGGAAAAAATCCTGTTGCTACAACAGGATTTTCCTGTAGCTCCAACATGACTGCCTCCTGTTGCAGCAACAGGAAAAATTCCTGTTACAGCAACAGGATTTTCCTGTAGTTGCAACAGGAGTCAGTCATGTTGCAGCAACAGGAAAAATTCCTGTTACAGTTACAGGATTACTACTGTTATTGCGGCTTAATAGTAAAATATAGTTGGGTCATTCCATGTCAAATTGACCTACAGTTGGAATTGACCCTTTTTGATTTGGATAAATTTTGATCAGAAATTTTCTTTTATCATTGAATGAACTTCTGCCAGACGAAAAACAATTAAAAAATTTTATTCAAAAAATATGCAAATTCAAATTGTACTGATCTTAAAAGACCCTAAAATTTTTAGAACTGTGTTTTCTTTTTTAAATATGAATTTTTAAATTAAAAAAAAAATTTTTTTCTTGCTTTTGCAACTTTTAAATAAGGTGAAGTTATGCAGATACATAGTATAGTAATTTTTAGCATTAAAAATTAAATACACGACTCGGAAATAATAAATAATAAATTAATTTTAATTTTCTTTCTATTTTTTTGGAGTAATCTTAAAGTCAGGCTTAACAAATGATATAGTGATATAGTTTCTTATTTTTTTTAACGCATGATATATTTTGTCCATTTCTTCACATTAATAACAGTATTTAACGTCAAATAACTCAAACAAATTGGTTACTACAAATTTCTGTACATTAATGTTGCTCAATCTCAAATTTCAAATCATTTCCATCTTAAAAAGACGATAAATGGCGTCGGAAAATTTAAACGAAGTAAAAAAAACGATGAATAACAATTATATCATGCGTTAAGCCTGACTTTAAGATTACTTCGAAAAAAAAAAAGTTAAAATTATATTATTATTTAATATTTCCACGTCGTGTATTCAATTTTTTAATGCTAAAAATTACTATACTATGTATCTGCATAACTTTACCTTATTTAAAAGTTGCAAAAGCAAGAAAAAATTTTTTTCTGAAATTCAAAAATTTATATTTAAAAAAAACACACAGTTCTAAAAATTTTAGGGTCTTTTAAGATCAGTACAAGGTACTATATAAAAAAATTAAGCCAAAATTTTAATGTCACTCGAGATTTTTGACAATTTTCAAAAATTTAAAATTTACAAATTTGGCATTTTTCAAAATTTTTTTCCAAAATATTTTTTTTTTTTCAGTAGCTTCAAGTGTCTCCTATCAAACAAACGAAAAGCCATTCCCGTATCTATAATAACGTTCGAGAAATTCCAAAAACAAAATTAAAAAACTGAAAAAATAGCAAAATTTTGAATTTGCATATCTTTTGAGTAAAATTTTTTAATTTTTTTTCGTCTGGCAGAAGTTCATTCAATGATAAAAGAAAATTTCTGATCAAAATTTATCCAAATCAAAAGGGGTCAATTCCAAATGTAGGTCAATTTGACATGGAATGACCCAACTATATTTTACTATTAAGCCGCAATAACAGTAGTAATCCTGTTGCTGTAACAGGAATTTTTCCTGTTGCTGCAACATGACTGCCTCCTGTTGTAACTACAGGAAAATCCTGTTGCTGTAACAGGAATTTTTCCTGTTGCTGTAACAGGAATTTTTTCTGTTGCTGCAACAGGAGGCAGTCATGTTGCAGCTACAGGAAAATCCTGTTGTAGCAACAGGATTTTTTCCTGTTGCTGCAACATGACAGCCTCCTGTTGCAGCAACAGTTAATTTTTTTCTGTGTACTACTTATAGCTAGTGGCGCGAGTACTTCGGAGCACAGCGCCCTGTGATCCATCGATAAACTAACTGGCGCGGGCCAAGAACCACACATGGGTAATACAGGGACTAAAACACTCCATTACAGCAGATTAATTCATCCATTGTGGGATTTTCAATGTTTCTATAGTTAGCGTAGTAGTTCCTGCCTAATTTGAGGTAGAAACAGTCTATTCTAGTGATATTAGCTTCTTTATGAATCTTTTTATTACTTAATCTTTCCCGATAATCTGTCTCTGGTTTACGATACATGCCAATGCAGGAACGTGGAGCTGATCTCTCCAGTCTCCTATACTTTTCCATGACCGTGTGGTTCATGTTCCAGAGTATAGGTGCAGCGTAGGTGATCAATGGACGGATTAATAACTGATAGCAGATCAGTTTTGCTTTGGGAGACAGATTTCTATTATAAAATATTCTGGAGTTGATTTTTATTGCCTTTTTCAAGTTGTGCTTTATGATTTGTCATATGTAGAAGATGGTCAAAAGTAACTCCCAGGTATTTTACAATTTTTTTAACCGGTATATCAGTTTTTAGACCCAGGTGATCAGTTATTGTGATCTTGGCCGCCTTTATCCTGTTATATTGCGACACTTTTATTTGTTTACAGGGACGTCTGAAGAAGATTATTTCACTTTTCAGCCCATTGATCTTCAAGTTCCATCTCAAATAATGGTCATTGATTTTATTAACACGGTCTTGCAGTTTGGCTGTGATGATGTCTACATTGGGGTCAGCTATGTAGATGACTCTGTCATCTGCGAATGAAATAGAATGAACCCCGTTTTCTTCTAACTTTGCTGCTTCGTTGGTAAAGCTGTCGAAAATATTGAAGAGGATGGGAGACAGTACTCTGCCTTGTTGGAGTCCCTCTAGTATGGAAAATTTGTCAGCCGAAAAAGATAGGCCATCGCAAGTGTAAAAATAGTTACCTGTCAGCATATCTATCAAGAGGAAGATGAGACCACGCGGGAAGTTATTTTTTTCTAGTACAAAAATTAGTCCATCGATCCAGACTGATTCGAAGGCCTTCTCTAAGTCAAGTAAAGCAGCTCCGACTATCATGTTATTATGAAGACTCTTGTTAATATCAAAAGCGAACTTGTTCATCGCATGAGTTGTTGCATGCTTGTTTCTAAATCCAAATTGATTATTTGGTATTATCTTTTGTCGCTGATAATAATGTCCAGTTGTTTTTTGACTAGTCTTTCAAAGACTTTGCTGACACTCATGGTGAGACTAATTGGTCGATAACTTTGCGGCAGTTCTAGGTTTTTGTCCTTTTTTGGGATGGGAAACACTTTTGCGGCTTTCCATCTTTGAGGATAATACGCTAAATTAATTGCATTGTTAAATATGATGGTATAATGTTTAATGATTAATTCAGGTAGATTTTTAAGCACGATAGTGGGAATGTTATCTAACCCAGCAAATGTTTTATTTTTAAGCTTCTTTAGAATCAATAAGACTTCTATGTAACTGAACAAGAACTTCGGTTCATTATCTTTTATTACCGGGTAATAAGCTGGGTTACTCATTGAGAAATTCACGAATGACTGATTTGTAGTTCTCATATTGTCTTTCATCTTCTTGGTGTTGGTAGCTACTGTGTCGACACTTAATTTAGTGATGGTTCCAAAATTCGTGTACCTTGGAGCGTTTATGCTTTCCAGGTATCATAGGTAAATACCTATGATATGTAATTTTGTATCAGGATCTGTAGCTATAATTTCGTTGTTATTGACTAGGTCTGGAAACTTATTGGAGCAGTGGTTGCTAAGAGTACTATTGTCCAATGGAATTTTCAACGTGTTGATGCTGATGTCTTTCTTTGGTCTGAGCATACGGTTAATTTTAAGGAAAAATTCTTGTGGATTTTTGTAATTAATACTCTTGATCTGTGCCTTCCAGTAAGCAGTGACTGTATTTTTAAATTCCTTATGGATAAGTTTATTTGTTCTTTTGATGGTGAACTTGATTCTGGATTTTTCCTGATTACTGATGGGGATATTATCAAATTGTCTTCTGATAAGATATGATTTAAATGCATGTAGGCGTTTAATGGATTTATTGTTGTATTTTAGGAAATAGTCTTCTCTTTTCTTGGTGAGTGGAATTGTGGCTTTTATTGAGTTTGTTATTATGCTCTCCAGTTGTTCAATATGGTTGTCAATTTCATCAATAGACAGGTTGTGATCGCTTAGGCTTTTGATGTCTTGATCGTAGTTGTTTAACAGGTGTTTCCTGAATTTATCCCAGTTAGCTTTCTTGAAATTGCGGGCTTTAAGATGAGTATCCTGTTGTTCAATTAATCCAGGAGCACAGTTTTCAGTAGAGATGATCAGAGTGATTGCCCAGTGGTCACTATCATATGGTAGGATTGGAAGTTTTCCATTTTCAAGGTTCTCGATGTCAATTCTCATGTCAATGATGCAGTGATCCAGGTAGGATTTGGCTTTAGGGAAGGTTAGTCCTGTTGGAGTGTTGCTTTATACTCTATGTAATTGGCTTCCAGCCAATTTATCAGTTTGTCGCCTCTGTCATTTGATGTCTCATCACCCCACGTAGTACTCTTTGCGTTGAAATCACCTGCTATCAAGTAGTAGTTGTTGCTGGTGTCAAGCTTGAAGTCTTTCATCAATTTTGCCAGTTCGTGAATGAATTTTTGACCGTTACTTTGTGTCGCATAGATGCTAATGATTGTTAAATTTGTTTTAGGATTAGTTTTTATTTTTATTGCTGTAAACTCTATGACTTTATTATTTAAAGAATTAGGAAAATGAATTGTAGTGAATTTAAGCTTGCTGTGAATGGCTATAGCAGTCCCACCACCTTTGGTTGAGTTGGGCCTGTCTGTTCTGACTATCTGATAATTAGACAGTTGGACTTTATGCTTGACATTGAATTTTGTTTCAGATATATGACATATGTCAATCTTGTTTTGATCAATGAAGGTTTGTAGATCGTATCTACGTTTAATCATACCAATTGAATTGACATTTATGGCAGCAATTTTAATATTTTTGTAAGGGGCTTGCTCCATTATTCGCCTTCGGAGAAGAGAGCGGCCATTATTTGGCCGATTCGGATAGTATTTGCTGAAATTCTATCATTTATTTTCCTCAATTCTTTTGTGATATCGTTTTTGAATGATATGAGTAGTTCTTCTATCCTTGAGATGTTAGTGTTCGAGGCACTGCTCGTTATTGGCTCAGGAGGACTATTGAGGATGTTGTTACCAAGTGTGAATCTTGCCGGTCTTGATTTCGCCTTTGACAGAGGAGGAAAGTGTCTAGCTCCATCAGGGTTCATAACATTCGCGAACGAGTATCCTGGTGTGACATAATTATTAATCGCGTTGACTAGCTTTTTCTTTTTTGCATCATTAATTTTTTTGTTATTAAGTTTAACTTTGGTGATTAATTTTAGTGCTGGGCATCATCTGTGGTTTGCCGGATGACCAGTTCCCCCACAGTTGATGCACTTAAGAGCTGATTTGTCCATTGGTGATGTGATGGTGCAATCTTTGGACTCATAATTGCCTGCATATTTAACGCAGACTGGAGGCAGATGACAGTTAGCGCTGGAGTGACAAGTTTACTGGCATCTATTGCACATAAATATGGTAGGCTTTCTGAGCCTCTCCCACCTAATAGGTTGCGACAATAATGTTTTTGGTCTTGTGAGGGGTGCCAGCAAGCTAGAGGCAGTTGCTGATACTAGAAAATGAAATATATGCGGGTTAGTTTTGTCAAAAGTTAGTTTACTAACCTTAGTAATTTTGACATCAGGTAATTGGAGGCTCTTAAGTGCAGTTTTGACATCTTTTTCGTCATATCCTCCTTTTACTCCTTTCAAGAACACAGTTTTAACCTTGAGGTGGCGAGGAGTGTATGTGAAGTAGTTAATTGTCTTACTTTTAAGTAAGGCAATGATTAGGTCGTAAGTTTCCATGTTGTTTGGAAATATTTTTGTGAACGACTCGTCAAATTCCCGGACTATGAAGTCGGTAGTTGGGATTCCTCCGGAGCTTAGGAAGTTAGTAGTGTGTTTAATACCTGGTAGTTGAACGTAGAATGGAGGAGGTTTAACCTTATATACTTTAAGAGTTGGTTTGTTAATGATAGTTTCAGGATTCTCTATATTAATTTTGTTTGTCCCGTTTTTATTTGATTTAATCTTTTTGTTATTTTAGCGTCGTAGAGTCTTGCTCTCTCGACCGCTAATAGGTCGATGAGCGCAGCTCCCGCAATGACCAATACAGCCGCTTCGGAAACCGTGCAGTAGATGCAGGCAACTCTGAGAGCGCCTCGCCGCTGCACTGCTGCCATTTTCCACCGATAGGTTTTCTGCTTTAATATATCTGCCCATATTTCCGCTCCATAAAGCAGTACCGAATGGACTGCTTCCAGAAGGACTCTCCTCTTTTTGGTTCTTGGTCCCATAGTATTCGTCATAATTCTTGCTAGGCTAGACACCGTCTTGCTGGCTATCTGGCATTCATTATCGAGGTGTTCGCGGAGATAGTTTCTCGTCTATCATTACCCCCAGATAGCGCAGGGCCCTTGTTGACGTTAGTGTTGTTCCTCCCATGTCCACAGCAAATGGTTTTGGGAACCATTTTTGACGTGTCAAAACGACCATCTCGGTTTTCTGTTTGGCGAGTTTCAGGTGATGCTTATCAAGCCAAGTCTCGAC